GGTAGACTCCAAATGAAATATCTTCATTGATGCGTCTGACATCCAAATAGGAGGAAAAAAAAGAAAAGGAAAAGAAAAGATGAACTGCAGATCACACAGAGGGTGAGGCGTCGCGCGCTACGGGCTGCTGTGCGGACCTCTTCATGACTTTTTTTGCAAAGAGAGAGTGATGGGGGTACGGCGATACCCCCCTGAGCTGCAAGTTCAAGTGCGGACGTGACGTTCCTGCGAACTTGAACGTCAGGAGATGGACGGACTGAGACAGAGAAAACATGGGCAGGGCAAAGCCGGCCAGTGGGAGGGGGACAAGGCGTAATAAAAACCAATGGACACTCATTATGGACTACCTATGGAAGGAGGGGGAAGAGAGAGAGAGGAGAGACCCCGGAGACACCAATGGACAGAGGGGATCAAGGGGGCTGGGCTAAGGGAGGGAGGGAGAGCGAGAGAGGGGGGAGAGAGAGAGATCGGAGGAAGTACAGGAGCAGCAGAAAGCTCGTGGAGCAAAGGAGGATCAACCCAGCTTTACTGACACATATTTAATATAGTTTATTCTTATTTTCAGGCTGGGATACATTTCTGGTGGTCAATAAAAAAAAAATGTTTAATTTCGGATTAAGTGTTTCCCACGGTTAAAAACATGTAAATAGAGCAACCTGCCCAACATTAATTTGAATATTTTAAATGAATTGTAACATTAAAGTCGTACTGATATATGTGCTAATATTTATACTATTGACAGCTGTATTTTGATATGTTTAATTGTTAGTTTGATAGGCACCAGGAAATATTTGTGTTTGTCGATTGTTGCGTGTGAACCTGCCCAAGTGGACTGCAGATGGAGAGCAGATTGTAGCTATAATATGGCACATAGCATCTTTTCCCTCTTTGAGATGTATGCATTGTTATGCATGGTCCTTGTTCAATAAAGACCCAACAAATATCTAATATTAATATGTTTTCAATTTTATCAAAATGATTACATAAAGTATTTAAATTATTTGTATTATTATTTATTGATGTGAGAGGAAAAGACCCTTTAATTCCGATGTTTTTTTTTGTAAAATGTGTTTAATTTGTGAGATCAAAGCTTTCTATAAGCGATTTAGGGCTGCAAGTAATTATCTTTATTTTCCAAAATATGTCTATGCCAGTAATTAAAAGTCCAATGTAAACACCTAAATATACTCAGTTTAATGGGATATACAAGTGATGAAAACAGGACATGTCCATATTTTAGAGGCTGGAAAAATCATTTAAGACACATTTCTGCCTGAAAAATTACCTTTATAAATTCAAAACATTAATAGATTGTCAAAGTATTTAGCAATCATTTATTTTGTCAATCGATGAATGGACACATTTTCTATAAGAGAACCAAACAGTTTCTCTATATGTTAGAGAGAGGATCTACTTACTTTGTTATTTGCACATAATGCAATTGTAAACAATTGGTTTCCTTAATGCAAGAGAGGGAGATAAGAAGATCAAATTAATATTAATAAAATATAAGTATCTATTAATAAATAATGTACCAAAAAACTGGATTTTAGCCTACATAAGCCTCCAATGCATTTTGATTTAAAGGCTACAATATAATGATTGAACTCCTTTAACACAGTGTTGAATCAGTTATCTATGCATAAACAATACACCTTACTCTATATTCAACACACTGATTGGTTTCCTCTGCTTATCTTCATGTGTTTATATCAGACAGTCTTTATGGATGGATAAGCAGACACATTTCTGATCTGAGCCACACTCTCATAGCCTTATGGGGGCATGAGGGAGAAAACACACTGCTGGAAGTTACTGCACTGTAATAATATGTAATACTATTGGGGTATTATGTGTCGAATTTGTAACAAACTATTTATCATCTCCGGTTTAGTTTTTTATAGTTGTGTTCTGATTTGTATAGCCTTCACTGTACAGGAGCAGGCAGTAAAGTCTTCTGGATTTACAATCACATGCAACCAGGCAAATTATGTGACATTTATAACTTAAAGAGTAAACTAATTATAACAAAGATATGTGAATATTTCTTGCAATTCCACTGCTGTCGTGAATGTGTTTTATTTTGTTGCATACCACAAAGCATGATGTTTTTATCCTTCAGGGACACCACTGAGGATTAATGCACCAATGAAGGGTGGCTGCACTCTAAACGATAGGCTAATAACTCCTGTGTAATGGAACCTCAACAGGGGTATTTAGCGCAAACAATGAATGTCAGATAGTAGATTACCTTATGTATGGCTCATATGGACCACATTGTTATAGTTATATAAACTACGCAAACAACCAAAAATAACCTTAACAAAATGATTTTATTTCTTCAGGTTTGGAAACATACCACAAACTTATTTTGACAAATTCATAACCGATAACATTTGAGTCACAGTGGTCCTCCCTATGATTAACATGAAAAAGTCAGGATTGATATTTCAGATAACACACATTATACAGTGAGACTAATATATCTAACACATGTTGAAATTCTAATTAATATCATAAAAAATGTATGTTTTAGGGTGAGTTTTAACAATTTAGGTTGTTGCTTATCAAGCCTCTTCCAAGACCTTCACTTCCCAGCTCAATACTTTGGCGCCATCTAGTGTCGTTATAGGAGAATAACTTCAAATTCAATTCAAGATGTTATAGGCAATAATGATTAAACATGCAGAGAATTGAGTTTTTATTCAAATCTAAACGTTTTTTTTAAATAATAATAATACTTTCTATATTTTACCATCATAAAGTGCATGTTCATGCTTATTATGTAGAAACAATCTATAAAAGGATAATTCACAACCAATGAGGTCAACAATAGCAGCACATACATAACAGATAATTATGCGTTATATAATTATATAAGGAGAACATAAAATGATAATATTATAATGTGAAATACCATCAGCACATATATACCAATTGAAACTAAATAAAATCTATAATTTTCCCAAGGTTTTTACTTCTTTGTTGTTTAATAAACTGAGTAATTTATGTAGACAATTCAGTGATAGACAAAGGGGAAAACATAGGTAGTGATTGTAAAAACAAAACACACATATAGAATAATGAGATAAATCAGATATTCAAGAGAGTAATAATCTGGATTATTATTATAACAAATATTATCTCTAAGGTTAGGCAGAATTAGCCCTCATCAAAAAGTAGCTAAGAAATTCAACAATCGATAAAAAACCATGATTCAGAGATGGATAACTGCAGTCTAACTGTTCCTGTCTCAAGCAGGATGCATTAAGGGTCAATAGTGAGTTAGCGAATCAGAAATGAATCTGACTTCCTGGTTCATTAGTTGTTGTTTTTTAAGCTGAGTCATGTCAAGTCTTGTCAAAAACAATGAAGAACTGAAGTAGTGATCGTCAAAACAAAAAATGCATATAGAATAGTGCAATTAGTAGAAGAAAAAAAAACCCTGTTTTTTTCGAGTACCATTTTCTGGATTATCATAGATTCAAATATTCAAAAGCTTTATTGTCCTATTCACAGTAGCTACAGTGTAATTATGGCAATGAAAAATGTCCCAGGCTCCTCCAACAATGCAACATAAATATATAAGACATGGACAAGACAAAATAATCAAACAAAAAAATAGTGCAAGACAAAACAGAGTAGCTATAACATTGTGAGATTAAGATCATTTTACAAAACATATTGACCTCATTAGCTGAGAAATACTTTAATCTATACCATATGAGGCCATTAGACCAATTCACTGAATTCTCCAAAATCCAGCATTACTCATCAAATATGAGCAAGGTCGGGAGGCTTACTTTAAAAACGTTATCCGTTACAATTACTAGTTACCTGTAAAAATGTTTAATCAGTAACCTAATCTGAATATCATAATATAAAAGCAATGTAAGCTGATTACTTTCCGTTTCTTTTGGAAACCTAAATATCAAATGCAATGCAAATAAAAACAAGAGAAAATGAATATCAATGAGATGTTTTTTGATGAAGTGTATCATGTAATTGTAAGACAACTGAACAATGTGACCTTAGAAAAGAAGATATTTAGTATAAAAAATTAAGGTAAACTTGCCTTTCATTAAGCACATTCGGGCAGCAGGAGTATAGTTTCACTCTTAAAGATCTGATCCTTTTACAACAAACACACTATGATCTTTTTAGGTTTCTAATAACATTGTAATCCTGCTAGTAATCCCCAATTTTTTAGAAATGTAACAATAGTCTGACTACGTCTTTTTCTAATGTAACTGTAAGGGAATACAGTTACTTTTTTTCTGTATTCTGAAATCCCGTTACATGAAATCCGTTACTCCCCAAGCCTGGCAACATAAATATGTAAAAGACATAAAACAATTACACACAAAAAAGTACCAGAGAGTAGGAATACTCTTTTACAAGTAAAAGTCCAGAATACAAAATGTTACTCAAGTAAAATTACAAAAGTATTGGCATCAAAATATACTTCAAGTACCAAAAGTAAAAGTAGTCATTGTGCAGATTGGTCCATTTCAGAAAAAAAAATATTATATGTTTTCATTATAATTATTGATAATTAAAGTGTTATCAAAGCTGGTAAAGGTGCAGCTCGTTTGAATGACTTTGTATACTGCAGGGTAGATTGTGAATAAAAGTACATGATTTACCTCTGAATTGTAGTGGAGTAGAAGTACAAAGCAGCAGAAAATGGAAATGCTCAAGTAAAGTACAAGTAGTAGGCTACTCAAAATTGTACTTGAGTAAATGTACTTAGTTACTTCCCACCTCTGCTAAGGTTAATTTACATAATTAGCCCTCGTTAGCTGGGAAATTCTTATGAGTCTATATGTTTTTGGCAAAATCACTGCATTCTCCAAAACCCAGCATTACTCATCAAATATGGGCCACTCACAGTTTGCTGTCAGTATTACATAACCTCCCGATCTCCTCCTATGTGAGCGAACAGCGCCACCGTGAGGCCAAGACGCGGGGCTGCCGCAGAGCAGGGCTGGGCGGCGGGGTGAGGATCAGCAGCAGCTCTCCATAACCCTCCACACATCGGATGCTGATCGTCCGTGGAGCCGCACCTGGTGAGTGACATGTCTAATCCTCCGTTTGTTTGTTTTCCTGCGATGGGCTCAGCTGTTTAAGGATGGATGGAGACGCTTCACAAAGAGCATCGCTGTGTTTGTGCGACAAGCCTTATTAGCCTCTATCCGTCGTCCATAACCGGGGAGCCTCGGCTGCACAAACAGCCTCCATAACCTGATTTACAATAACACGTGATAAGTGTTGTCGTGAATCTGTCTAAATTAGCCTCTATTGGGCTTAAAGAGCACACGGACATGACAGTGAACGCCAAGGATCGATAGGCTTCTGTCGGTAATAAGAATTAAAGGCAGACAAAGTGTCGATATACATTTATGAATATCATTATGTGCGGTGTCTTTGTATAATATTATTCTAAGGGGTTATGTATTTCTGGGACGATTTCGATATGATACGGCTCCATGATAAGCGCTGGGCCTAACTGGGCTAATTTGCAGGCTTGTCATTGGCCGACTGTAACCCATTCATGCACGCTTGACGTGTTGTCATTTGCAGATTTATAGCTGTATATGCGTGTGTGGTCAAGCGTCTAAAAGGGAAACATGGGCCACTAGAAGCCACGCCACTGAAAGGGTTAACATGACCAGAAGGGGGTGGGGGGGGGGGGGGGGGGGGGGGGCTGTCAGGTCCCATTGGGATCGAGTTGATGCACAAAAATGAGCCCCAGATATGACAATGTGTGCGTAATTACATCCCACTAACATACTCACCTATGGCTTCCATTCAGAGCGTGAGTCAGCAGGGCCTGATGGTGCTCCTGCAGAGGGAGGACCGGCTGTTGTCTCAGAGAAAAGAGCTGTTGTCTGACAATCATATGAGAGAGCATCATGGGAAGCAGAGATGTGGGTTTTTTCAGGAAAAAATAGTATTGCTGTCTTTGTCTTCAATGTCTATTTCTCCCCCACTTCCTGTCTCCTTTTGGCCATTGTGAGCTCATACAGACTTCCAGCATCCAATTAAATTAGCTGTCCTAATGTACATGTGCCGTAAATTCAATCTGCATGGATGCCTTTCTGACCTTTACCCCACTCCACTTTAGTACAGCATCTTTATTTGACGTACACTGACAAGATTTTGTTGATTGATCTGTAAGAATGAGTCCATCCACAAAGATCCACGCAATAACTTATGCTTTAAAGGGGCCCTATTATGCTTTTGGGGGTTATCCCTCTCCTTTTCTGTGCATGTAAATGGTCTGCAAAGGCTAAAACCCCTGTGTAAGCCAAACTGACAAATTAGTCGACTTATCTACTAAGTAGGAGCAGCCGTATGAAATGTATTAGGATGTCTAAAATCTTCAAACAGTTTCTCGCTTTTATACATCTAAAGTTGTTCTTTCATGTTGTTTGCTGCTCTCCACACAGAGATGTGTCAGTGTCCTCGGGTGATTCCCAAAATAGCTACAGTACATATGACACATGCACACAGATGTTTATTTTCTGTAATTATATAAAGCAGCGTGCCTCCTTCACGCCTGTAAGAACTTGTAATTGTATCGATCAAAGCATTATTCACAGATGGATGACTGCCGTCTAACTGTTCCTGTCTCCAGCAGGATGCATTAAGGGTCAAAGGTGAGCTAGCGAGGCAGAGATGAGTCTGACTTCCTGGTTCCTGGTGAGTGGCGGGGGCACGCGCCATCGCCTGCCCCGGGAGATGATCTTCGTGGGGAGGGACGACTGTGAGCTCATGCTGCAGGTGAGGCTGTCATCTCCATCCAGGCTGGATTATTATCTGAAGCGCTGAGATTAGCGTGGACAGTGATTGACTGGATTTTGTGTGATTTAGTCTCGCAGTGTGGACAAGCAGCACGCTGTCATCAACTATGAGCCCAACGCAGACGAGCATAAAGTGAAGGACCTGGGCAGCTTAAACGGGGTGAGTGTTTTATGTTTCTACTATCCTGTGTCTTACAGCTTTATCTACCTACTGCATAAAAGAGAAGCAATCTCTGAAATAGTAAGAGGCACACTATGTTTAACCAGAATCTGTATGAATCTCTACATACTGTATGTCATTTATCTGAATATAGTACACTGACACTAGAAGGCTGTTTCCACAATATGGTGTAGTTTTCCCTTTACTCACTGTAAATCTCACTCATTCATGGTTCAATATGTGATTTACACAAGTGTGATGTGGAAGCTAGAAGCCTCCATTGCACTCCTAAAGAAATTAACTGTTACAAATTAACAGGGTTTCTCAATGACAATGGTCAAATAAAAGGACAATTAGACAAAAGATTACCAACGAAAAACGATAGGATAATTAGACAACACCAAATGTGAAAGAAAAAAATTATAATCAATCAGTAAGACGAAAAATCAGGGGATCATACTCTAAAGAGAGCATGATATGAAAAAATAAATAAAAAATAAATAAACAATAAATGATAATAAAACAAATATCTACAATGTAGTGAAGTACAAAACTTGTGTCCGATTTGCCAAAAAAGGACGGATAAGCTTTATTCGTCCATTGGTAATGCTCTCATAACACAAACAGGCATTGCTTTTGCCAAATTACAGTGTAAAAAAACAATGATTCAAACATATTGCAAAATATACAGGATTCTGACCAAGCAGGAGGTCCAAACTGTTATTAATATTTTGTTGTGATTCAGTCCTTAACATAACCCCTTTCTGTTTTTGTCTACAGACATTTGTCAATGACGTCAGAATACAGGAGCAGATCTACGTCACTCTGAAAGTTGATGACAAGTTGAGGTTTGGATACGATATCCTTTGAATCTTTTGTATGTGTCCAACCCGGTGACACACAGGACAAGGTCAGTGGACCCGGACGACACTGTAACTTTATCTGCTCTTGAATAGCTGTGAATGCTCATTGCACTCTGCCTGCTGCATAATAGATAACGCTATCCGTGCATGGTTCTCACCCCTGCAAAGAGTTATTTCACCTTAACCTGCCTCACATACCAACCTGTTCACCGTGCTTCGAGGAGAGATGCATATTCCGGAGGAGGCCCTCAAGGTTAGACAGCACCTCGTGCATGTTCATGTGTCAATATAACAGTGTGAAAGACCTGCTCAAAACAGTGCAGCCAGAAAGCTCTTAAATGTTTACGTCACTGTGTAAAAAAAACCCTGAAAGAAGTGGATTTTAGTTAGAGAGCAAAAAGTTGTGCTGAACCAGGCAAAAATATTTTACAAGAGTGATGAATCTGCAGCTTCAGAATCATCACAGCAAACTGCCCAGGTAGCTGAAAAGGGATAGGATTTCATCTTAATGAGGAAGAGATGCAGTAATATTCCGGACGTATCCTCAATGATATGCAACATGCAAGTGTTCTTAAATGTCCAATAAAACAAAATCTGGCTTATCACATCCGTCAGCATGAGAAGTTCAGCAGCCAGCTGCAGCTCAACCAGAGGAAACCTCCGGAGAAGGAAGCGTGTAAATCTGAGGCCAAACCCTGCAAGGCAGCAGAAGCAGAGGGTGGGGGGGCCGCCGCCGCCAAGCCTCCTGAAGCCAGCAGGGTGGAGGACAAGATGCCAGGTGAGAAGAGCAAATCAATGACACAGATCTCAGTGTTCAGATGCCACTTTCACAAATGTACAGGAGACTTAGGATATCATATCGATGGGCGCTGTGGGCAAGAGGGTTTCAATGTTAACAAGTACAACTGAGTCATTTATTTGTCCAATGACTCCTTTTTTTACTTCCATAACATTATGTCATCACTATGTTACCGTTGTGCTTCAATTGGCTAGCGCTCCAACACATTGTACGTGATAGGCTAAGGGGCGGGAGCAGGACATTTCTAAGCGGTTGACCAATCAAAACAGAGCCGGTCAGCTAACCAATCAGAGCAGACTGGGCTCTGGTTTCAGACAAAGGGTTAAAAGAGTTGCTGCAGCACAGGCAGTATGAGGAAAATAAAGACCTTTTTGAACTTTAAAGCATGTTAACATGTCACAGTAGAGGCAGAAAATACAAATAGGAAACGTGAAGATATGCATAATAGGGGCCCTTTAAATCTGTATTAAATGTTTTAGTTGTGTAAAATGTAGCCATCTCATTCCATCATTCAACTGATGTGTTTCTTTTGCCAGGGGACGTCTCAGTGTTACACAAAATCACGCCTCTCTATGGCCAGCCTGCCTGGTGGGGAGATGAAGAAGCTAAGAACCGGCAACCAGGCAGGCCAGAGGAGAAGACCTCAGATCGGAAGCGAGAGAAAGCTGAAACAGGTGTTTAAATAACTCTGAAACCAAACGATAAAATGTGTTGAAATATCTCTATTTTACGCACCTTTAAATCTTCCTTTAATGGATGAATCTTTAGTTTATTCCCTTAGCAGTGCTAAACATCCCTTATATATCCTCTTTATTTCGGTCAGACACCAAGAGTGCAGAGGCCCCAAAATCGGCCCCACAAGCAGCTTCTAATCAGGAGCCCAGCTACTTTGAGATCCCAACCAAGGACATTGCCTCGGCAGGTAAAGTGAGTGGTGAAGCCCCCTCACGAGATCAAGATGCTTCTTCTGCCGCAGATCCAGGCCATGGCCACGCCTCCTTCACCATTGAGTTTGACCCCATGGCGGCAGCTAAAGTGAGCACCAAAGATCGGGTTGCGAAGGTGGGACCGGAGACCAGGCCCCGACCCAAAAGGGGTGTCGGGGAGGAGCTGAGTCCACTTCAGACCGCCATGGTGGCTGCGGAGGTCAAGGTCGCTGACTGGCTGGCCCAAAACGAGCTGCCATTGGCTCTTAAAGAAACGGTTGCAGAGGAGGACGGGGAAAGTGTGAAGAGTGATGTGCCTGTGCAACTGAAGAGCCTCAAAGGTGGGTATGTGCAGCCATTTGGCAGAGGTGGGAAGTAGTGGAGTACAAATACTTTGTTACTGTACTTAAGTACGTTTTTCTGGTATCAGTAATTTACTCCACTACTTATTTTTCTGACAACTTTTTACTTATACTTCTTACATTTTCAAAACGGGTTCGTTACTTTAGTTTTAATCTGTGTTTGGTGGCATGATCATTATTATTTAGAGTCATTGCGTGCATGTGTATTTTAACACGATCCGTGTATCCATCATTTCCTGGTCTTTTCCATTTCCAAGAGCCACCAATGAAAAAATTAAAACGTTGTTCAGCATCGAAACATTCATTTGCTAACAATGACATTATTATTCTATTAATATAAAGGGAGGTCAGTTACTCTAAAAAACAGATAGTAGTTATGGGTACTTTTTACTTAAAGGTGGGGTAGGTAAGTTTGAGAAACCGGCTCGAGATACACTTTTTGTTATATTCCATGGAATGCTCTTAACATCCCGATAGCAATAAATATCTTAAGTGCTTTGACAAAAAATCCATAAAAAAATGTCATCTGTGGAAGCCGTAGTACTGTAAAAAGCACGACCAATCATTTTAGCCGGCCCGGCTAAAATAACTGGATGGCCTACCTGCCTGTCAGCCTTCCATCTGTGCACAAACTTATCTCGTGCCCTCATTGGTCATGTGCGCGTTCGTGTGTGTTGGAGGAGGGGCTCTGTAAGGAAGTGGCAGATTTGTTCCGGCTGTGTATTTTCAAATTCTAGAGCACTCGAGCTGGTTTCTCCAAAATTACCTACCCCACCTTTAAGTACATTTCGAAGCCCATACTTCTTTACTTTTACTTGAGTAAAGAAGTTTAGTCAGTACTTCTACTTTTACCAGAGTATCTGTACTTCTACTTGAGTAAAGGGTGTGTGTACCTTTGCCATCTCTGCCATTTGCCATGTGTCTACATAATATAATAATTCAGCCTAAGCCTCTTTTTTACCCTCCTTTACATTTCGTCCCTTCTTTACCCCTCCCATGCCAGGCAGTAAACATGAGGACGGTACACAGAGTGACTCAGAGAACGCACTCGGAGGCAAAGGCAGGGCCACAACAATGGAGGAGCGCTCGTGGGGGCTTTGGGGCGGGATGAAGATCAGAGAAGGTCGAGCTAACGTACCGGAGGGGCTCTTCGCAGAGGAGGACAGTCCGGCTCGCCGTCGCAAATCTTCAATTTCTAAAGCGGCGTGTGGATTCGTAGAGAGGCGACGCGTAGAGGCAACACATCAGCAGGGCGGACGCGATGAGGGCTATCACCATGGAGATGACTACAGTGACAGGGGGACCTATACCATTGAGCTGGAGAATGGAGATCAGGAAGAGGAAGAGGCAAGGAAAATGATAGACAAGGTGAAAAGAAAGGGTCAGGATACTGGTTTAGGTTTTTATTTTAATGACTATCTTATTTGTGTCTGTAGATTTATCCTAAATTAACCAAAATTAGCGTTAGATGATATTTGCTAACATTAATTAAATTAAATAAACATACATTTTCAATTACACTTGTAATACAAAATGGTTAACGTGTTAATGTGAGAAATCAGCTAGGGAATTTTAATATCAACAAGGTATTTTCTTTACCCAATACATCTGAAGTGTCTTGCAAAATACATTTTGCAACATATATTCTTATCTCGATATTCTTATGATACGTTTTATTTCTAATACTTTGTAAAATATTATTCTCCAAAAAAACATTGCGAAAATAGATTTAAATTTGTTTTGGGCTATTGACAATATTTGTAGATGTTTGGATTTATTACGCTCTGTGAAAAAATGTTGACCCTTACAACACCTAAGAAAACGCTGAATTTGCATATTCAAACATACAATAACACTGGGCATACACTGTCTGACCTTTTCATGTGTGTATGTTGCAGGTGTTTGGTGTGGATGAGCAGGAGGGTGTGTGTGTGTCCAGGCTGGGGGGTGCTGACCAAAGAGAGGGGCTCACCTCCCAGAGGTCTGGTGGAGACAGAGGGAAGCATGGTCGCATGGAGACAGAGGTGCAACAACTGAAAGCTTTCAAATTCAACCGAAAAAGTTGTCTCTAAACACAGTGAATTATAATAATTACTCTCGTGTATCTTTCATGCTGTACAGGTACTGTCAGAGGAACTGATGGTGGGCGGTCCTCGCTGGGTCTCGCAGTGGGCTACTCTGGCTGCCAGTCACATCAGGACAGACCCTGAGGGATCCGGAGGGGAGAGTCACATCATGGTCACAGAGGACAGAGGTACTTATCTCAAATCTGAGTGGAAAAGACAGAAATAATTCAGTTTGTCAACTTATTTTAAGTTGAAGTTACGTGTGTGTGTGTTTGATCCATTAGCGGTGGGTTAAAGACACACACGTAACTTCAACTTAAAGGGGACCTATCATGCAAAATGCACTTTTGTACGTCTTTTATACATGAATATGTGTCCCCGGTGTTCCAGGGAACTCACCAAGTGTCAGAAAACACAACCCTCTCTATTTTCCTCCATACCCAAATCTCTAAAAAAGGGGCTGCAATGGATCTGATCAAAACTGATCCAGATTTGAACACTGTCCTGACGTCAGGAAAGTGGCGCTACAGCTATTGGGCCAACTCCACCAATCAGGAGGAGACAGCCACGGCCATTGCCGTTCGAAAGCGCTGGAGACGCTGTAGTACATATGCCAGGCCTGTAAGTGGAGCTGTAGTCTGCCACAAAAGCAGCGAAGAAGACTTGGTTACCATGGTTACCCTTCTGTTTATTCTCCACTGTGGCTTTCTTTCTCCCTCCCCGAGGCAAGCGTTTGCTCCCGCTGCTTTAATTCAATGCAATCCCTCCCCGTCGAGGCAAGCACTGTAATTCTCTCCGGTTAGTCCACCAGCAGATGACAAACACCCACCTCTCCGCCTCTTCCAAGGAACGAG